CGTGGTTAAACTACCCCGCGGGCAGGCGGGGGATGGCGGCGGCGGGAAGAGGCCGCGGCTGGAGGAGCCCGGCCCGGGGCGGCCGCCGCCGCGGGAGATCCGCGCCGAGGGGCTCAGCTGCGATTACCGCATCCTCTTCGGCAAGGCCGAGGCGGATGAGATCTTCCAGGAGCTGGAGAAGGAGGTGGAGTATTTCGAAGGTATATTCCTGCCCTGTGAGGGTGGCGGAGCATGGGCTGTCCAGGGAGGCTGTGGAGGCCTCCCAAAGGGCCTGGACGGTGCTCTTGGAGACCCTGCTTGGGCAGGAGGGTGGCCTGGATGACCCTCACTGGTCCCTTCTAACCTCAACACTTCTGTGTCCTGCTCTATTCCCCTCCAGATCCCCCTTATCCCTTCCCAGTAAAGCATTTCCCTGCCCAGCCCATCCAGGCGAGTCCCAGAGAATTCCCAGGGCCCGGGCTGGTGGGCACTGGGAGATTTCTGCAGCCACCTGGTGTTTGCACAACCTGGGCCTGAGAAGCCAGGAACACAGGTCTGACCCCACAGGGTCGGTTTTGCTGAGCTGGAAGTGTTTGTCAAGGGCTGATCCTGGCGTGGTGATGTAATTTTTTGGAGATGCAGTGTATGAGATGTGTGATGGGGATGCTGGTCCTGTTCTTCCCATTCGAGGGGGGAAAAGACAGCATCCGACTGTGCTGGGACACAAACCCTGGGAACAGGGATGACAGCTTTTGGGTTGACATGAACACCCTCATTCCTGTTCGGAGATTCCCAGAAGCTCAGCTCCAGGAGAATATTGGACAGGAGACAATACAGAGCCGGGATTGATCCTTCCCCTGTGTTGTTTAAACAGATGACGTGACAAAACTGCACGTATTTGGCACATGGCACAAGATTCCCAGGAAGAAGGTCACCTATGGAGACCCTGGCTTGTCCTACACATACTCAGGGGTCACATTCCACCCTAAGCCGTGGATCCCGGTGCTGACCCGGATCCGGGAGCGCGTCACCTCGGAAACAGGGCACACCTTTAACTTCGTCCTCATCAACAGGTACGGCCCCTTTCCAGCTGCACCCAGCAACCTTTTCTTCAAATGAAACAAAAAAAAAACCCCAACCAAACTTGTGCAGCATTTGTTTGGTTTAATTGGGAAATAATTATTATATTAGGTTATCAGTAAGTAATTGATGGTAGTAATTAACAGAGCTGTGTGCACAGGTATGTTATAGATAATTATATTATTGGCTTTTCACAGATATTAAAATGAATGTTATATGTATAAGGTTAGAAAACTTTGTTGTATTAATATAGTTCCTTCTATTTGTTACTGATGAAACTTAGAAATAGTGGTACAATATACATATATGTTGAACTATGGCACAGTATTAAAACAAAAACTAATTTTGTTTGTACAACCCAAAGACTGAAAAAGATAGTTAAAGACCCCCCTCCATTCTTAGATTATCTTATTCTGATGAAGACAGCAGTGACCAGAGCTCTGGGGGAGGAATTTATTGCATTTCTGTTATCAGGGAATGTGAAACTTGGTGGAGCCAAGAAGATTGATTTATTGGGAAGGGGACAGGTTAAAAACTAAACAAAGAAACATCCAAAACTTAAGAAGAATGTTTGAATCATGTATGAGAATTTATGAATCCTTTGTTAGTAAGGAGTGCTCTCATGGCTGAATGCAGAGACACCCGGCCGTATCCGTATACTTTATTTTTAATCTCCTAATTGTCTTTCTATTAAACTGTTAAATTCTGTATAGAAATGACGTGAAGCTCGTTTCTCACAGGTACAAAGACGGCCTGGACCACATCGGGGAGCACCGGGACGACGAGAAGGAGCTGGTTCCCCGCAGCCCCATCGCCTCCGTGTCCTTCGGAGCCTGCCGGGATTTCGTGTTCCGGCACCGGGATCAGCGGGGCAAGGGAGGGATGCCAGGCACAGGCAGGATCACCCTGCAGCTGGCCCACGGCAGCCTGCTCCTCATGAAGCACCCCACCAACCTCTACTGGTACCACAGCCTGCCCCCACGCAGGAGGGTGCTGGCCCCCAGGGTCAACCTCACCTTCAGGAAAGTCCTGCCTGCGTCCAAGCAGGGAAATGTTCAGCCATCAGGGCTTTTGGGCTCTGAAAAGTGAAGTTTTAGTTCCTGCTGGAACTGTGGGATTCCCCTGTGGTGATCCAAGGGACTGGAGGAGCAAATGGACACAAGAAGTTGGGTAATTTTGCTGCTAAAGCCTGTGACCACTGATCTCAATGGTAAGGTTTTTTTCCTCTGGGAAATGTCCTGCTGATCCCTATTTTTGCTGATTGCTACCCTTGTTTTGCTCTCAGCTGATCTTTATCTAAGCAGTGTTCCAAGAAGATGGAAATGCTCCATAGCCTGAAGGCAGCAGTTTATAAACACTGTGAGCCACAAGCTGTGATCGTTTAAAGCTGATACTCTACAGGTGATGCTGTCACTGAGCTCTGGTTTGCTTGGGGTTTTTTTAATTAAAATAAAGCAAGAATGAGCCTGAAGTGGAGAAGGGGAGTGCTGAGGTGCGAGGACAGGGAGTGCAGTGTGGCTGGATGAGTGTTTGAGTCACTGTGACTCCTGTCTGCTTGAATTCCTCTGCTCCTGGGGGAGGCTGCTCTTGCAGGAGGAAGCACAAGATTTTTCTTCCCTCCCATCATTTGTACAAAAAACCAGGCAGCAAAAAATGCCCTTGTGGGGAGGAACTGGGTTGTCCCATTTCCACTGGAAGGCTGTCACCCTGAGAGTGTATTTTCCTAAATAATTATCCCACTCTGACTCCCTGAAAACCATCACCTCCCACACCCACAGGGAATCCTGCTGAAAATGAGGGAATTCTGTCCAGTCCCCAAGAAATGTTGAGGCATCAAGGAATGGCAAGTTCTGGGTGAGGATGGGAACCAAAAATCCTGTGTAACCTGGCTACAGCCACTGGAATTAGTGCTGGGCTCTGGCCTTCAGTCCATTATTCCTATGGAATTAAGGCCTGTGCAGACAAGGGGGAGTTGGTGCTTCCCACCCTCTGCCACTCTGAGATGCTCTGTGGAATCTGCTCCTGCAGAAAATCCTTCTTAGCCAGAGTTTCTGAAGTGTTGTTTCAACCCCTTTGGCTCCCAGCTTGGTGTTTGTTTCAAAACATTCCCAGACTGATTTTTCTACCAAGTTTGTTCTTTTATTGCTACTGTACAGTTACAAAAATACCCTGAAGTGGAAAAAAAGCAACTTCCAACAGCAGTGCAGTGCTTGGACTGGAACAGACATTTTTAAATTAACACACAAAATAAGACAAGAACAATCCCAACACAGAGATGTCATCTTGGAGCTCTTAATTCTTTACAATTTATTAACATCTTCTCCACCATGGCAGCTTGGGAAGGATGAGTACCAGCATTTGAGACTTGTGGCTGCATGGAGCCCTCCCAGAGGGGGAGGTTTGGGCTGGAAAACAGATCCCAGTGACCTCCAGAGGGGGAGGTTTGGCTGGAAAACAGATCCCAGTGACCTCCAGGGGGGGAGGATGAGCTCCCAAAGCCCTGCACAGATCCTCAGCTCACAGGGGGCTGGGAAGATCTGGCACAGCTCAGGGCCAGGACTGAGGTGCTGGGCTTTGCTCCCTTCCTTACCTGAGGGTTAAACCAAGCCCATCCACTCCTCCCCACCAGGCAAAGCCAGAAAAAAGGCTCAGCCCTCCCCTTGATAGCCCTTGAAGGAGATCCAGAGTCAAACCACAGCCCAGGGAAACAGCTCTTGGCAAAAGAAAACCTGGCTGTGCAGGAAGAGCTGACTTTGTCCCTGTCCCAGCTGCCACATTTCAGCTTTCAGTCCGTAGTGTGCGTGTCCTCTGCCCCTCCTCCAGCACAACTGAGCCAAGGGGCTGCTCAGCTGAGCTCCCAAATCCAGGGAAACCCCCCAGGCAGAGTGGTGAGCGTGGATAATGCAGGACAGCCACTGCTGGCACTGGAAATGGTTCCAGTTCTGAGGTGCAGGGGCGGATCTGCTGCAGGGAGATGTTGGGGTGATGGTTTTAGGTGGCTCCCAGTAGGGAGGGCTGGCTCCTTCTCCAGCCCTGGCAGCTCTGCCTTCAATGGCCAGAGCAAATTTTTGGCATTTTGCATCCTTGAAGGTTGGTTTGGTTGTTTTTTGTTTTTTTTTTGTTAGTTCTCTTGGTTTTCTCTTACTTAAAACAGGTTAAAACCAAACTACTGCTCATGCAGCACAGCCAGGAACCAGGACCCAGCCCAGCAGTGGATTTATCAATATTTATGTACTATGAGCTTCACCTGGGCCAGGAATTGTGCTCCAGGCTCAGGAATGATGAGTTGTGTAAATAATTTTGCATATCCATTTCACCACTCCTGCTTTGGCTGGTTTGGAGCCTCTCCTGAGGAAGTGTGAACACCCCCGAGCTTTGGGCAGCACTATGAATTCATGAGGTACAAAGTTGCCCTAAAAAAAAAACTATTTAAGACAGTTGTTATTTGAAAACTTCACACTGAAAAAAGCTTGTCTGATGAGAGATTTTTTCTCCTCCAAGCTTATAAGGACAGAAAAGAGCTAAAAACAACCTACATATTTTATTCCTGGTCATTTAAAAGCAGACTTTGAAAGGAGGATTTTTGCTGCTTCTCACTCTGGGCTTTGGGATTTTTTTTTAAATTTGCTTTTTTTTTTTTTTTTATACATCAAACAATCCAGAGCAGCAGAATTCCCCTTATTTCTATTTACATGGCAGCCTGGAGCTGATGCAGGACTCCCAGATTTCTTCATGAGACCAGTAAGTGCCCACCAGTCCTGGCCCTGTTGTTTATATTCCATTTAACAAGGCCAGGGGCTGCTCTACAGCTCAGCTGCAAGCCAGGAGCGTGGATCCCAGTGCTGGGAATAGCAATCCATAATAGAATTCCAGCAATCAAATGGGAAGGGCAAGTCTAGAACAATGACAGCAGCTTGGAAATCACAGCATTAAAAGTTGTAGTGGATGCTACAAAACAACTGGATTCAACAGTGCTGAAGGAAATGACAACACTGAGCACTAGCAAACACTTCCATGTGCTGATTCCAGCTATATTCCAAAGGTATGGAGCAATAAATTAAGGTTTCAACTCTTAATAGATACAAAATTATCTCCTGGATAAAGCAATTTAAATCAGGAGAAGGACTTTATAAAGAAGGGGCAGTGGGAGGAAAATCGTGTGAACAGGGAAATCTTTTGGATCGGGGCCGTTTGTGGAGATGCCTTGATAGGTCAGGAGAAATGTGATTCCATGGGTTCATCCTGTGGCTGTGAGGCATTCCCAGGACACGGTGGGCATGCAGAGGGCTGGGCCAGTGGCAATGCAGCTGTTCAGGGAAGCTCAAGGCACTTTGTGTCTTAAATCATGGCCAACAGCAGCTTCCCCTCGCCCCCTCCCAGGGCTCCCCACTAGGAAACATTGGGAATAGAGCCTTGGGATAAAATCCCTGCCTGGCAGACAAAGGCTCCCCAACACACGCTCGGGGCTGGACATTGGAACAGCTCCAGGAATTTTGGTACAAAACACAATTCCCAGCCATTGCCACAGGGAATGGGGCTGGTGCATAATGGAGGTGCCAGGGGAGGGATTGGGATGGGCTCTTCAACAGCAGCTTGACATCACAACCCCTCTCCAGGCCCTGGGGAAACGAAATGCGTGGGATAAAGCATCTCCCTGGGAAAAGGACACAGAACAGAGCCTTGGGACAAGGCAGGAAAACGCTTCTCAACACACACCCGGGGCTGCACGGGCTGGGACAGCGGGATTTGGGTACAAACCCCAATTCCCAGCTGCTCCCACGGGGAAGGGAGCCTGGGGAGAGGGGGAGGTTTGCATAACGGAGAGGCGCGATCCGAGGGCTCGGGACGATGCCGGCGCTCCCGGCTCAGCTCTGGGGCTGGGCCCGGCCGTGCACGCGCTCGTAGAACAGCAGGTAGGCGCTGGCAGCCAGCACCTCGTGCAGGCTGGCCCTGCGCACGGATTCGTCCGAGATCCAGAGCCACTGGCTGCCGCGGGCGCCCGGCGCGCGCCGGAAGGTGACGAAGTGTCCCGAGTGCATGTCCCCGTGGTGCACCACCACGGCCATCAGGCGGTACAGGTACAGCGGGGCCCTGCGGGGACACGGGTCAGCCCGGCCACGCACCACAGCACACGCACAGTTCCTGCCTGGAGCAAGGCTGGGGCTCCCTGAGGGGAATTGCCGTGGAGGGAAGGTGGGTGGAATGTGGATCTAGTGGAAGGTGTCCCTGCACGGTGGTGGGATGGGATCTCCAAGTTCCCGTCCAACCCAAACCGTTCTGTGATCCAAACTGCTTTTTTCCTGCTGCTCCATCCCCTGGAAGTGTCCAAGGACAGGTTGGATGGGGTTTGGAGCAACCTGGGATAGTGGAAGGTGCCCATAGCAGGGGTGGATGATCTCCAAGTCTCCTCTCAACCCAAACCATTCTGGGATTATGGGATTCAAAGCTGCTGCTCCATCCCTGGACGTACTCAAGCACAAGGCTGGATGGGGTTTGGAGAGACCTGGGATAGTGGAAGGTGTCCCTGCCCATGGGAAGAGGACTGCACTGGATGGTTCCCTACCAACCCAAACCATCCTGGAATTCTATGTAAAAGAAGCCCCAAGGGTGGAATCACTGCAGTTGCAACATCTGAGAAAAAAAACCAAACCCCTGTGGGTTTCTTACAACCATTTGAAAATGAAGGAAAGGCTAGAGGAAGCCAGCAGCAGTGAGATTATGGCTGTGCAGAAGGATTTACTGCACCATGAACCAGCGGAAGGCGATCTTGAGTTTTGCTTTCAACTTGCCCCACTGCCTTTCCCAGGACTAAAAATCACCCAAGAGACAAGCACAGGAGCTGGGACAAAGGTTACATTCTGTGAGGAGGACAGAAGAAAGGGAGGCAATTTGAAGGACAGAAATGAAGAGAGAAGGTACAAATCTCTAACTTACCTGCACTCAGGGAATGCAGCAAGTGGGAAAGCTCCTGGGGACATTAAAAATGAGGAAGTGGAGGAGGAAGAGGAGGCACCATTCATGAAGAGAGGCTTGGTACCAGCTGGTTGTTCTGCATCTGCCAGAGGAAGGAGAAATGCAGGGATTTAACTTTAATGCTAAGAACAGCACCCCTGCTCCTGCAGTGCCTTTCATCATGGGAGATTTTTATTGATTTTAATTGCCAAAGGCAATAGATATTTTATTCAAATTCATTTTACATGAATATGGAAATGCCCCCATGTCCAAAATCCCAACCAAAGGAATACTGAGATGCCTAAGGACACACCAAAACTGAATTTTCCAACTGGTTTTGATGAATTCACCATTCCCAGGATTCCTTCTCTGCTTGTCCTGAAATCCCCAACAAGAAGAACACTGACACAACCCAAGTTCAACACACTTTTGGACATAAAATGTATGAATTCTGTGCTGTGTTTTGTAATTTTTATTTTTTTTTAATATATATATTTAGCAGGATCAAAATGAAATTATCCAAACTGAACTGTAAATTTGGGAATGGCAAAGGGATTTCTGTCCTCTTTGCAGAGCCCCACATCAAGATGCTGCTCATGGCTTGATCCTACAGAGAGTGTTTGATCCCTGAAATGCAGAAAGAGCTGAACTATTTTATTGGCAAAGGAGGTACCTGAAGGTTTCCCTGCTCTCCCATCCTTTATTCCAGGGGTTATCTCCTCAGAGTTTTTCTGGCTGAGCTGTTCCTGGCTGGATTTGGGCCCAGGAACCCGATATTTGTAGATGTCCATGACCAGGAACTCGTTGAACTGGACGTGTTCGTGTCTCTTCAGGGGAGTGCCCTGGTTTGACCAGCTCAGCCTTTGCAGGTGGATGCACAAACACTGGGGCAGCTTCAGGAATGAGTTCAGGAAAGGAGAATCCACATTTTGCATGGAAAGAAACAGGTGGTAAGTCCAGGGAATAAGGAAATGCATTTCCCTTATCTCTGTGTAAGCTCAGTGGCAACAATGACCCTAAAATTTTTTTTAGACAATAATTAAGACAATAATTCTTGTGAGATTCCTGGTATCTCCTAATCCCCAATAATTAATGGCTTTGCACAGGGGAAAACCAAAAACATTAAGTGTTATAAAGAGCTGAAATTCAAAATCATTGCTGCAGCAAGAAGTACATTATTATTATTATTATTATTATTACTACTATTATTATTATTATTATTATTATTATCATCATCATCTGAGGCTTTTAATTACACAAAAGTGCCATGTTGGCCTTTGTATGACAAGATTACAGAGAAAAAAAATGAGTTTCCTCATAGAAACCACACCTGATGTTTACTCACCAGCTGTATTTAGAATATTTTAATTTCTCTGAAATGTGGAATTGCTGAAGATGCTACAAACTCTGTAAATATAAATCAATTTGCTCACCGAAGAATTAATGTAAAATCTAAGAAATGCCACTGAGCCAAACTCACATTTAAGTGTTTTGCTAAATAACAGGAGAATATTCACATCCTTTAAGTGTTTAATGTTTGATATTTTGCTGACCTGAGGCCTCAATGACCACAGATTATTTGCCAGGTGAGCTTACCTTGAAAAGTAAAACATTTGTGGTGTAAATAGCAAGAAATGGACACAACCAGCTCAAAGAGAGAAGTTACTGCGTGACAAGATTTAGGAAATTTGGAGGTTTTTTTTGCCTCACCTTTCCTAACTT